CTTACAGAGTGAAGGAACGATTAATCGCCTTATGTATTCATAAAAGGGTACTATTCCACATAAGTTGACCCAAAAAATGAAAATCGTGAATTTCGCTAAAACTTCGTCTAGGGAGGTTATTTGGTACGCTGAACACGAATATGATGTTTATTTCGTGCGACAGCGCCATCCGGTGGAGTTACGGTAGGATTACGGTAGAAGGTCAAAATCACGAATTTGCCCGAAACTTGGCCCAGAGGGGTTATTCGGCCCGCTAATGCCAAATATCATGTTGGTTTTGAACCGTAGCGTCATTTTCTCGGGTTACGGTTGCTACACGGTAACGGGTATAAAACATAGTTCATCCCGAAACGGGTGTATGGCGATTCGAATGATCGTGAAGCTTTGCACACATGACCACCGCCGCTACACACTCTGCTGCGGCTTTTGCCTAAGCAAAACACAGGGGAAAGATACATTTGCCGATTTGTGATTTTGACCCCTACCGTAAACCTCCTGTAACCATGCAGGGAGACGTTTTCTTGCGGAGAAAGTGTGACATTTCTAATCAGCATGTCGAATAACCCCTCTGTGCAAAGTTACAGCGAATTTTGAGATTTTGACCCTCTACCGTATACCCACCGTAACTCGAGAAAATGACACTACAGCACGAAACCAATGTGATATTCAGCATCAGCGGGCCGAATAACCCTTCTAGGCCAAGTTTCGGGCAAATCCGTGATTTGGGCCCCCTACCGTAATCCTACCGTAACTCCACCGGATGGCGCTGTCGCACAAAATGAACATCATATTCGTGTTCAGCGTACCAAATAACCTCCCTAGACGAAGTTTTAGCGAAATTCACGATCTTCATTTTTTGGGTCAACTTATGTGAAATAGCGCCCATAAAAGTTTGTCTGTTTGAAGTTGGAAAAAAGTACCATTGAAATCTATTCTCTGACATGTGCAAGCAAGTGTTTTGAAGTCTAAGTCTGGCTTCTCTCGTTAAGTTTGCCAAACCCAGAATTTTTATTATTGCTCGATGGTGCCAATGTTGGCTTCTGTCAAAAAGTGAAGAAGATCCTTGTAATTTTGTTTAACTTTACGAAGCTCTTGTATTCGATTGGTGTTTGGGACTTGCATTGCAGCATTATTAAATGTTCCATTGATCTGAGGATAAAGTCTGAATTGAGAGATTCTGAATGGATGCCTGTTCTTCATGAATGTATCGCGCTATTCAACCGCTATTTTCGCACCTTCCAAGGACTAGGAACATATGGGCTTGATGTGATTGGTCATGATAAGTACAACGTGGATCTTGATACGAACAACTACGCATATTGATGGATCAAGGAACAAAGGAGCAGTTCCTGACCTATTTGTGGCCAGTTATTTGTAAAGGATATTCGTCGACGACTGCCTCAAATAGTGCAATTACACCACCATGAGCGAGCTTTTTTGGAGCCTTTTCAGCTTGACAATAGGACAGGACAGGACAGAGAAAGGACAGGGATGCTGCGAGCTATCAAGTCCCCGTGCGTCGGGGCAGTCGTCGACGAATATCCTTTGAAATGCTGTAAGAAGTCCTACGCATTCTGTTAGAAGGTAGTAATTCCATAACAAATTCCATCTCATCAAGGCACGCATCAATGTTGAACAGCGACTGCATGAAACGGATATGCAAGACTTCCTCTATGATTTCCTTTTACAAATAGAATTGGTCTATATGTTTTGGTGGGAGAACAAATTGACTCACAAAACAACTGCCATCAAGCAGTTTTCAGTTAAAGGCACTAAGATCGTTTTAAATAAAGAAAGCTTTGCTCCTCTCTTTTGTTTTAAGTCAAGGTTTACGCAAAACATCCGTGGACCTTGACTTGACAAACAAATATTGTGTGTTTGATACAATGGCGCTTGATACGTTGATACATTCCACTTGAGATTCCCGTTCGCACCTCAATAAAGTTTCTGGTATGTGAACGCATGTCAGAAGCAAAAGACTGTGGTACTGTCTATCAGTCTGTCGAATGGACTAACAGAACACTTTAGGATGTCTTTTTGCTTACGAACTAATTTACAAAAGCAAAGGCTCTGAGAACAAGCATGCATTACCTTATCCGAATCATATTATTCCAGCACTACCAAGAAATTCTTTTTGTACAATATACTTCGCGCTACGAATTATGGGATCATGGAGAAGCATCGATACCTTCTTATTTTCAGAACCACGATCGCTTTCTGTATGCAAAAAAAAACATTCGTTGGCATACAGTATAACTGCAATCAACTATATGCCAACAAGCAAAGTATCTTTCGCTACACGGCAGAACTATATGCAAAAAATCATCTAAGCGGCGAACTGTGTGCAAAGAATCACATACACTACTATGTTTAGTGTGCTCCGGGAAGCATAAATTATGCGCGCCGGCTAAATTCGCAGCAAGGGGCGCGCTTTGCGCAGCCATGTGTAGATTTAAGTACGCGTCCTCTGGTGTAGTCACGATATTCTCTTGCTTTTTTTCCCAAAAGATTTTCAGGTTGACATTTGCCACTCTCATACCGGTCCCGGGGTGGAATGCGCGGGATATCGCAGATGAACGCAGCACAAAGGGTTCCTTCATACTACCCGCGCACGCAGCGTACGCCGCTGCAGCGCAGTGGAAATATGCTCACGGCAGCAGAGCTCCACTTTTTTTGATGTATCTCTATATTTGCTGCACATTCGTGTCCCTCAATAGTGTTCCTTGACATTATGCATCTTCCTCTCTTTTGCTTTGTTTATCCTGTCTATCCTTTGTCTATATCAATGATTGATGGAGTGACTAGGTTGTTGTGCTCCCTCTACTTTCGAGTTTCGCATTTTGTATCGTAACTGACTGCACATTGCGTCATCTGGTTTATATTGGTAGTATATGGTTTGCAAGGTTGTATGTTGTATCTGGTTGTATATTTGCGCTGTTAACATCTCCTTACAAACACAGGATGAAAAGGATTTCTCTTCTTTATACTGTTAGACTGCAATTGCAAATTTGATGCGCCGTTGTTGCCGCAGTCTGTTTTCTTCGCTCACAAAACACCATTTAAGTTTCGGCGCTGACTTCACAGTTCACAACGTTAACGTATCTGGGGTCAAAGCTGTACAGAGATAAATGATGAAATGACGCTCGTAATAATAAGCAGTTATACAGATACATAAAAAAAGTGGAGCTCTGCTGCCGTGAGCATATTTCCATTGCGCTGCAGCGGCGTACGTGGCGTACACGGCGTGCGCGGCGTAGTATGAAGGAACCCAAAGTGAGGAGGTCGCAAAGGTTCGACGTGATGGTGTTGTGACACTCTCACTGAGACAGCCTTTTGGAAGGACCGTCATCTGAGAGTGAAACTGTGGGAAGCCACGAGATTCATTAGGGTGCCTTCATATCGCGCCGGGAGCCGCCGCTGGCAGCCCGTAGAAGCCGCTGGCAGCCCGTAGCATCCCGTAGCAGCCGCCAGCAGCCCGTAGCCGCCGCTGGCCGCTTTTGTCATAGAAGCGCAAGTCATCAAATTCTTAGTACTTTGCGTGCGCCTGTCCATACTTTCCATCTTCCACGCCGATGCGATATGATTGAAGCAGAACATAGGTAGGTGCCAGAGTAAGCGAATATTTTGTTCAAGTTGGGGTCCCGCGCAGAACTGGCATCACTAATCATTGTGGCATAATGCCAACTTGGCGTTGTGCCACAATGATTAGTAACGCCAGTTCTGCGCGGGACCCCAACCTGAACAAAATATTCGCTTACTCTGGCACCTACCATACCCGAAAAAAATAGCAAATTAAAAATTAAAAAATAGCAACCTGCGGGAACTGGACCATCCAAAGTCAGAAGAAATCAGATTGCGAAGAAACTTTGGCGAGATATGGTTTGCGAGAGGGAAACTGAGCATCAATAGGATAAGCAATCTACTAACAGGATAATAACAACAGTGGACACAAGTATGATGATATATGAGATCAAATTGCGGCAACAGGAAGGAAAAAGCGTGGAGGACGGAGGGCGTAGGCGGTTGCACTTATAATAGTAAGAATTTGTGATTTTGCGCTAGTATGACAAAAGCGGCCAGCGACGGCTACGGGCTGCTACGGGCTGCTACGGGCTGCTAGCGGCGGCTGCCGGCGCGGTATGAAGGCACCATTACGCAGCTCCTACAGATAATCGTTATCATCTCCAGTGTATCATCGGCCCCCAGATTCGTATGGAGGCGTTGCGGATTCCCTGATTATAAGGATAAAGTTGTCAAAACTTCACGTCACAGCACTCTTGTTCTCGCTCATCAACCTTATTCTTGAGATCAGGGGAAGTCCGCAACCCACCTCCATACGGATCTGGAATGCGATCTTACTTTATATCTGTCAAGCAAGGTTTCCGCGGATAGGACTGTGGATATCTTACTAATGCTTTGATTAGTGAATCCGTTTCTGTCCATCATATTATACTGCCTGTGACGTTTCGATTATTTTCCGCACGATAGACCTCGAGTAGTAGCCAAAGGATGAAAAAATCTTGGGAAAAGCAAGTGTACATACCAACTTCAATGGGCACTCTCTTAAGCGTCCGTCTTTGTGCGCATCAGTCTATTGGGAACGATTCACTCATTGATTCATTATCGTAGAGGTGACATTTAGACCATGAACAGAAGATTCTGAGTCTAGCTTGGGGACAACACAATTCTATTGCGGAGCTACCTAGCCATCGTGCCTGCTTCCATTTCGCAGCAGTTACTTCCTTGACTGTGTCCTAACTGATTCTCTTCTTCCATTTCTTCCCAATCCGACCCCTTCGAAATTTTTGCACGCCAAAACTGTTCATAATTTCAAAATTGCAAGGCTCATAAGTGCTGCGCTGCAAGCGGATTATCAGCTGGACGAACGCGGAAGGTCGCCGAATTCGAAACATTTTGACGGGTCCTGGACAGAATCAGGCTGCGCGCTTTTTGCAAATGCATGTTCCACCCACTGAAAATTCCAGTCGGTTCACTTGTGAATGTCGGTGCTTCTGTCTCATTTCACTCTGTTTCGCATCAACATTCTCGTATTTGAACACAAGTCTATTGTAGCAAGTGTTTTAGCTATTGCTTTGCTTTCTTTCCTATCACATCTGGATGTGGACTCAGTTATTGATTGTGTTTCAGTGTATCACACAGTCGAAATGGCTACTGAAGACGGTTCAGTAGAAGGCAAGGAAAAGGAACAGGAGCAACAAGCGCAAGTTCAGCCTGAGGAAGAAGTGAGTGTTATTTTGGAAATACTTTAGCAATTGAACAGCATTGGTTGTGGTCGCTGACTGCGTATCAGTGAGATAGCAAAATCGTTGTTCGTCTAACGATAAGCTCACTGCTTCCTCGCATTGACCTTAAGTACATTTTGCTTATGAAGTCGGTCTAAAGTCGTTTATGCGTAGAAATAGGGCGCGTAGTGCTTTTATCTTATTTTTGAATGATCAAATGATATAAGTTAGTTGGCTTTGAATTTATGCTCGAGCAGAAACCCACTTATCGATGAAGCGCTTAATTCAGTGTAATGCCTAGCAGCATTTTTTGCAGCTGCTCAAAATTCCCTCTTATAATGTTGGCAAATGCCAAAAATTTAAGCTTTCAACAGTAAATACTAGTATTGAAGTGTATTAGCAAAGCAATATTAACTATCATTCTTAAGCACAAGGGTGCAGGCGATTCAATTGTTGGACTTCCGCAAGAACTGCTCCTTCGCCACCCGCTACAGTCAAGATGGGCTTTGTGGTATCTCAAGGCCGATCGAAATAAGGAATGGGAGGATTGTCTTAAAGTGGGTTGTTCCAGGTTGTTCCAAAGAAAACTTAAACTTGAAGATCTGCTTGTGCACATCCATTCATGACATTTCTCTTATGATCGTGAGTGATACGGGAGGCAGAAGTGCCTTTGGTCACGTATGAGTGTCAACATCTGTTATCAATCAGGATATATCTCACTCCATCCAACGGGCAAAATTGTCTCACTGCCACTTTTAGCGCACTACTGGCATGCGAAAATCAAGTGGGTTTATTTGCAGATGGTATCGCTGTTCGACACTGTGGAAGATTTCTGGGCGCTCTATAATCATATACAGACGGCAAGTGGTCTTAACTGGGGCTCTGATTATTACCTGTTCAAAGAGGTTGGTTCATCGAATCTCCCAGCTTTAGTTTACAGTCGCTTCATTTCATATGATCATGTGTGCCATTGCACACACAGTCCGCTTTGGCGTCCTCATCCTGGATTTGCAATCGCAAAAACGCAGGAGACTTACCGATTGTTATCGATTACATCAATTTGAGGTGACGTAACTCAAAAGGAAAGAAAATGCTAAGTACACCTTGGAAACACTTACCTGAAGGCTTGTTTCTCCACCGAATCCAGGATGGGGACGCCAAAGGTGAACTGTGTGTGCAATGACACACATGATCATATGAAATGAAGCGACTGTACTTGAACGACCAGTTCCTTGTGTGCCTCATTATGTCGGCACCTAATATTTTGAGAGCTGTGAAAGCTATGAAAGGTACATTAAATAATGCAGGCTATTGAAATCTAATGTGAAGTTGGCAAATCTATAAGAGCTCCCACGATTTTCTTTGGTTGGATTTATGGAAAATTGCGGGGACTGTCGTTCACCATTTGACTTGTTGTGGTAGATTAAGCAGCAGTCGATAAGGGGACGTTGTTTGAGCGGATGTTGAAGCACTTTGGAGGCTGAGCTTCTATCTTCACTGGAGAAGAAAATCAAATTTTTTACACAGATCTTTGTTTGCCCGTGCATCAGACTTACAAGAAAAGTGCTTGTGGTCGAAATGGTCTTTTTAGGTAAAATCTCTGCTATCATGAAGAGGCGTGAATGTCGATTTCAAATCTGTTTCCACTATCTGCCAAACTTTGGAAGTCGAGTTTTGAGTGTTTTCTGAAGCAAAAAATGCACTCGGGATTTAGGTAAAATTAATCGTTACGGTCGCTCCATAATGCAATGTATACCTTCTGTCCAGTATTATACACAACACTGCTCAAATAGAGCAGTGTAGGTATAATACTGGACAAAAGGTATGCATTGCCCGAAGTACCTTATATTTAACCTTTTGGCAAGAGCGTCTTTTCATTTTTTCTCAAATGCGCATTCACTTTTTGAGCGCGAAATGCTCATAACTCGGCTTGCAAAAGCGTTCGACAGATATCGAAAGCAGATTTGTAATAAGCAAGCTCTATAGAATAGTATAGAACTTCTTCACAAAGGCTACTTCGACCAAAAAGTCGAAGTCTGATGCTTGCAAGTCTGATGCTCTATCTCAAAGACAACAGAAACGGTTATTTGCAGGGCATCAAGCCAATGTGGGAAGATGACAGCAACGTCAAAGGAGGTCGCTGGCTTGTGGTTGTGGATAAGCAAGTAAGTTAGTTAAAAATACGACTTTATCGTGAGCTGAAATCCAGGGCTAAAACCATCTCAACAGAAAGCGAAAAAGTCCAAGATCAAGTCTGTTTTGACCTATCTCAAACCTACCCTATGTCAGCAAGTAGTAAGTAGTAATTTTTCGGGAGAGGAGAGGTTCGTTACACCTCGTTAAAGTCAATAACATCTTGCTAGGCACTATCGAGCTTGAAGTTTGGTAGCAGTAGTTGCTAGTAGCCTATGCTTGTAAAGTTTATGAGCTTTTTTATCTGCTGGAACTATTCAAAGCTCACGTATTTGAGGCATACTGGTCTTGAACTGTACGCAAATTCTCGCGACTCCCATACAATGTACTTTTATACCTTTCACGTTGTCACTGAAACGCTTCGTACTGATACTTCTATATTTTGATTTAATCACGCTGGCAATTTTCAAAGGCAGCGTCCAGGCAGATCTGGACCTATGGGGATTTTACGTGGAAAGTACTTTTGAGGCCTTAACTAAGGCAATGCCTAAGCGGCAGCGCAGGAGTGCTCTAATGGCTGAGATATTCCCCTCGAAATTGGACTCCGGGATCGTATTCGCATGGATTCATGGCAGTTTCGCGCCAGGATCCACGCTTTGCGCCACGAATCCATGCGGAATACCATCGCGGGGTCCAGTTCCGAGGGGAATATCTCATCCGTTGGAGCACTAACCTGAGCTGCCGGTTGGGCAGTGGCTTAGTCAGGGTTCTGAAATTACTATCCGCGTGAGATCCCCATGGGTCCAGACTTGCCTGGATGCTCCCTTTAACTCTTTCTTTAATTTTTCATCAGAAATACTACCTTTACCTTTTCTTTTGAGACGTTTAATTCTGTTCATTGTGTTTCTCATCTTTTATGAAGGTTCATTTCGTAGGTGTTTAGCAGAAGTTTTTGAGATTAGTGATTTTAGCGTCGGGCTCAGTTATTGGATCACTACTGGCTGGAGCTTTTGATGGCTATCATCGGTGAGCAGTTCGAAGATCTTGGAGAGTACATCTGCGGAGCTGTGGTGAATGTGCGACAGAAAGGAGATAAGGTATCGTCTCCTTGTTCAACTGGTCTTAACATATTGACATTTCTTGAAAGAAGGCCGGCTTTTGGTTTTTTGTTTGCTTGCAGATTCTTGATGCTTGACGGACTTAGTCAGTCTGTCAAGTTTCTGCTTACTTCGTACGTAATTGTATCTCGCATTGGAGCATTTTATTCTACTTCCTTGGTGTTACAATGAACTTCGTCTAGGTATCCCTTTGGACTCGTGATGCAACTCGCGATGATGTGAACACTCGAATTGGACTTGTACTAAAAGCGAAATTGGATATTCCAGATTCGGAACCATTAAGGTAATATCGTCTTTATTCATTGTACCTAGTTCATATACTATTTCTTTTAGATATGAGGTTCACAAAGATTCTTCCGTCCGTACTTCGTCGATGGTCAAACCACGCATCATGATTCCGAATAAGGAAGCTGCTGCAACAGCGGCTCGCTAAAGATTTTCCATTCTTGGTCGGGAGGTTTCCAATTGCTCATCCTCCTCGCTTTCCAACTTCAAGTAATTATGTTCCTTTTCTGTTCATATAATCGCTTCTGTACCCGTGTTAATGTGCCGACAGGCGCTATATTGAATGGATGGCTTCTACATCATCCTGAAGCACAAGATTCCGATCTATATACTTATAATAATAATCAGTAATACTCTTGTGCACTTTTGGCGTTCGTTGCTGTCTCTCTATTGGTTGGCATCCTCTATCCCTTTCTTTCTCTTCAGTCTTGATTTCGGAATACGATGTCTCAGAGTAGAGCAGAACGTAAGGAAGCCACATTTTTCCCAGGGTTTGGTTGTTTTTGTTCATTTAGTTTGCATGATTTGTGCGATTTTGAAGCTCTCCATCTGCTTGTAGTTATTTTGATGAAATCGTATCCAAATTCACTTTATATGGCATCACATATAGCCATAATAGCTATTGATATGCGGGATACACCCGGTTTTCTTTCATTCATCTCAGAAGCAGTGGATATTACTGGTTAAGCTTTCTTCTTAATAAATATGATTTTTGTTATAGTTTCATGCGCTTGCTCATCTCGAAGCTACCAACTTTTCATTACTTTCAAGTCATGACGGCCCAAATCGCACAATGATAATTTTTGGTGTTACAATGGGCCACGACGAGTGCTACCGTGCTGGTCGTACTTTGCCTAGTGGGGTAAGTGTTCGACTTGATTCCTCCTATTGAGATTTTGCTGTCAAGTTGACTGCCGAAGAATTTGTTTCAATCGAAAAAGGAACCAAGTCGTGATGTGCTATTGCAGTTTACCTCATACCAGTCTTCTTATTCAAATAGTCATTGTAGCTTTGAAAGCTCGATTAGTAACAGATAACTGTCATGAAAAGCAGTCCTTATGCTTGTACATGCAGGTAACTTGATCTTCGTGGGGTAGAGGACTATATGTCGCCGAAAAAGGGCGGTCTCCGTGGTCATTTGCGACAAATACGCACCTTTGTACATGCGCGGGCATGTGTTCCTTCAGAAAATCCGCGCCGGACTCTTCCAAATTCGGCGACATATAGTCCTCCACCCGATCTTCGTGTGCTTGGATGACTTGTCCCTCGAAGTTTAATTCATGTCCCTTGCTATCGTCATTCATGATCTTTGTAGGGATTGATATGGTGGCTTTCGCAAAGTCGGCGGGGTAAAGTCATGACCAGCTGATTTTCCAGTCGTTCTGTTCATTCCACGCATACCTGTGCCTATTTTGTGGGTGGTATATATCCACGAAAATGCATTGTTGCAAGGAGTGATGGGGTGGGTGGAGGAGGATATGTCGCCGAAGGCTCCACAATCGCGCAGCTGGCACGATTAGGCAGAGATAGTTTGTCAGAATATTCGCCCGGAACATTCCCTTTCGGCAACGTGACATCCTCTATCTGAGGGGAACGAACGAATCCAGTACCATTTGATTCAACTGGCTTGGCTTCGGGAAGGCGGGGCTTCGTGACCCAATTAAGGCCAGGTAATGATCAGATAACACTCGCGCGAGAGGGACGCAGGTGCGTCGCGGGCGCGAACGGCCTCAATCAAGTCACAAAGCTCTGCCTTCCCAGAGCCAAGCCAGTTGAATCAAAGGTTGTACATGACACCTTCCGTCCGTCTTCTGCTCAAACGTCCAAGGCTACTATGCATGTAAATCTAAGGGAAGCGCCGCCTCTTGTCATCAAACAGGTGCATACTTTTGCAGGTTGATGCAAGATTGCAAGGTCTTGCTTACGCAAAGTGTGGTTATAGTAAATAATGCGCAATCGTTGCAGTGTTTAGTCGGTATGACGAAGTTCGTTCGCCCCAACTCCCAAGGGGCGAATGAACTTCGTCATACCTCACGCGATTCCAGTCGGCGCGCGACTAAGCACTGCTATGATTGCGCATAATGCATTATAACCACACTTTGCGTAAGCAAGACTTGGCACTCTTTCATCAACCTGCAAAAGTATGTGCCTGTTCTTGGAATCCACTTGTGGTTGATCTGTAGACATCTGGAAATCCGGCAGATCGCGTGGCGACAGAATTTGGTAGAATAGGGTGAGGTAAGGCCGGTTCTCAAGGAAACGGCCATAGGTTGGCGGCAACGGTTGCCGAGGTTGCCGCGGTCAGAGAGTAGAGAGCGCGCGATATGTGGAGGCTATCATGAGGTTCTACAATGAGCGCCAACGCAAGTAACCTCGGCAACCATTGCCGGCAACCTATGACCGTTCCCCAAGGCATACCTCATGAGCATACCACACGCGCGTCCAGCTTGTGCGTAATCTGGAACTGCAACGACTTTCCATTGGTCATAGGCGCGCTTTGATTGGACCAAACTTGACGCTTTTGCGACAGCGGTGATTGCATACCCATCTGATGCATTGCTACCACTACAATTTGATTGCATACCATATGCCTGCCGTATCCTGACAGGCAACCATATGTTAGAAGGTGGACGACTCCGAGTTAACAAGGGAAGGATACTGACTTAGATTCGCCTTTTGAGATGAGACACATACATTTGGAATCAGCTTGGAACGCTGATTCCAAATATGCTGTTCCTAGCTGCTTAGCATTATTCTGAAGTGAGTTATGGTCTCTTTTCTATGCAAAGTTTGCGTGCTCCTCGACCTACTGATGCTACGGTGTAGACGTCTAGATGATTTCGCAATTGTAAAATACTCCCTTTCAAGATCGAAATAATTAATCTGAGGCTAGTTCAACATCCTAGCACTTTTTTCGAGCAGATTCTTATCTACACGCCGTCTTACGACATTTAGAAGTTTGTTAGTTACACGCAAAAGCAAGCCCATAACTCGCCTCCGAATAATGCTAAGCAGCTAGGAACAGCATATTTGGAATCAGCGTTTAAATCTGATTCCAAATATATGTTCTCATCTCAAAAGGCGAATCTAAGTTGGTATCCTTCCCTTGTAAGTTGACTGGTGAGTGACCCTGATTTTGACTTTGTTCGCTGTAACAACGGTATGTACAATACATGGTCCAGCATCCGAAGACGGCACATCTGTTTATTTCAAAAATCAACAAATGGTTATTCTGATGGACCTCTGTTAGATCGGGTAAACCATACGTGATTTATAGGCGATTCATTGCATGCGCAGAGTGGGTGCTGTTGCATCCGACAAATATAGTTCGTGTATGGGAAAGAAAATAGACTGCAAGAGGGGTAAAAGAGCGCTCGATCAGCAAGACCCCGTCAGCGTTCTTACCGCGCTTTCGACACTGCGCATGAAGGAGAATTTCATCAATTCAAGGTTCCTCCTCCATTGGTATGAATTGGCCAAAAAATGGCTTGACTTATTGGCTCTTTGCCTCCTGGATAGGGCCGCTTATCAACTTTTTGAATAGCTCTAATCTGCTGCAGAGCCAGAACCTTTACTGATGTTTAGTCATTACAGACAAATTCCTTCTCAACTCCTTTTTGACTAAATTTTCGTAGAAAGCTCAGTTTCGCTACATCACTCGATATTCTCCTAAAGCACTGCGCAACTGCCCAAGTGAGTTAATGCGGAAGTTTGCAAAAATAGGAAATTCCGCAAATATCCTTGTAGGATTTCGATTGGGACTATACGACGCCTGCCTTTCTATGTGTTTCCTTCGTATATGATACCTGTTCTCCGATAACAGAACTAATATGTTAAGAAGAACTAGTCTTACATTAGACAAGGGTATACCTTTCTTTGAAAAAAGATACAATTTTGTCATCCGCAATCAAACCATATGACGGCAACATAACGCTCTAGGAATTGGAGGGAGCTAGTATTACCTATCCCAAGGTGTACAAAGGTTTTCAGTGCAGATTGATACAGAAAGGATAACGACTGCAGAGAAACCAATTACGGAATATGATATAAGTTAACGATCAGATCTACAAACAGAGATAGTACGACTAATTGTCTAAATACTTATTAGGCTGTTTCATTATATTTGCCGCTTCGCAGGAAGTCGTATTCTTCCCACTCTGTAAATAGGGTCTGATGTTGTTTCAGCCGATAGAGCAAAGCAAGCTCCACAAGATGACGTCAAAACATCCTCAGGATCCACGTAAAGAAAAAAAAATTAAGGATAACTCGAACATTCCTAGCGTACCCAACCTAAGGTTTTCTAGAAAGTTAAGGTACCAGAAAATTGGCATGCTTTCGCCAAAGCAGTGCCGGGGTGTTCCCAACTTTATAGGCTGCTGCATGACGAAGGTGTAATATCTTTGGGCGCGAACCATTGGTGCGATAGGGGGAGCCGGGCTCTCCCCAGGTGAAGGGGGTCTCGGCTGTTTCCGACCTTCCAGGGTGAAGGGGGTATGTGAGCCTAGGGGGTGGGGAAGAGAGAAAAGGTAAAAAAGCGTGGTATGAAGAGCTCTAATTTGTACCTTATTTAGGTACAAATTGAAAATTTCTTTTAGAATTAAAAAAATAATAATAATAATTAAAAAAATTGACTTTATGGAGATCTGTGCTCCTATTTCATTGCATCAGCAAAAAACGAAAGCAATAAGGTTTACCCCAAAACATGACAAGTTAGGAACGACTTGCAATTCCTGCGCGTCATCATCAACAATATCACTATCGCTGACGTCCGATACAACAAGTTTGCTGCCTGAAAGATCTTTTTCTTCCTTCAAAAGATCATCGGAGCAGAAGTAGAATTGCGTCAAAAAACGTTTCAAGTCGAAAATGGATTTGAAACGTTCTTCTTCTTCTAAGCGCTTTTGTGTTTCTTCCTGGCCCTCTGGTAGCACCAGAAAGTCAGCAAGTAGGTGACCAGTTCCTTCATACCATCTTTTAGGATATTTTAAAAAGACATACGATGACAGCCTGTCTGAACCACTTATAGCAATCCTTTAAATGAAGTTTCTAGATAACAATATGTTTAGTAGAAGGTTTAAAAATATCAAGTAATTGCTTAGATGCTCCACCGTTGTACGAGTTCTGCGTTGCGTTCTGATAACACAGTAGTTAGAAAATCACCTCTCCACCTCTGCCATGCTAGTCGGAATGGGAACTAGCTTTGCTAGTAAGTCCATCATATTTTTGCGGTAAGCAATGGGGAAAAAGCCAGATCGCATGTGCTTTCGCAACACGGGATGGAAATATTGCATACTTTTTTGGGCCTTGTCGAACTCTGGCTTCACCTCCTCTGGCATACGTCTTGTTAGCTGACGAGAAAGCTGCTCAACTTCTTCTTCAACAGCATCTGCGGAATAGCCGAGAAAAGTAGATACTATGCTGCGCGTTGGTTTTTTTCCAATATCATAGGTCATAGTGTCATAAGGCGAGACACTTCCAGCAGCATAAAGCACAGAGTTAAGTTTGTACTTTACTCGGGATCTAAGAGCAGTAGCTACGCTTTGTACTAACACCTTCCTTTTGTTCATATCCATGTTCGTGAATCTAGCAGCCTTGAAATCTTCAGCAGCCTGAAGAACAGCAATGGACTTCTTGGACATTTCCTCATTGAAACTAGGCAATCTGCTTGGATTTCTGATGTACGAAATAGAGACTTTCGTTCAATTGTCAACTCTATA